ATACCAGACATCATTGTTTCCTGCAATTGGTGTACTTCTACATTATAAAACGAAATACAGTAAGGTCTCAAGCCTTTTGGAACAATAAGAAAGTTATTCCTCAGCCACCAGCACTAAAAAATCTCTTAAAAGTAGAACATTGGTTGTTATTACGTATATTACCTTTGAAAAATACTTATATGAAAGATTGGTTCAGCTAAAAGTGGTTTTAGGGGTAGGTGGTTTTGTTTGCTCAAGATGTAGTCGAAATTGCAAATCAGCTTCCCGTTTCCGAAGCAGGAATAATATTATTGGCAGTAAAGAATATTAATAAACATTCCACATCTTCAAATGCATGTTTAGTAATTAAAATATTTAACACTTTTAAGACGATTGACGATTATGCAATCTCACACCTCTTATGTCGTTTAAGGAATAATTGCATCTAATTTATATTTGGACCTCTTTTACGAATGCTTTGGTTTTCACAATACACCTTAAATTGTCAATATCATACAGCTATTCACTTGTTTTTATAAGTCAGAACATTCAATACTCAAAACAGAATCATACACAAATCAGGTCAAACGTTTAAATACCTTTTTATAGTAACCAAAACAAAATGCATTTTTTCAATGTAACTTATTTAGGCTCCATGACAAGAAATAGTTTATTAATCAATATGAAGCACCTGTTTTATGAAGAAACTGGCTGCAGCTTCATTTGAATGGTTTTAACTAACAGCTGTAGGAATGTTATTAATATTTATTCCCTTCTCTGCAAAAATACAAACAAAATAAATGTTGAATATTTGAGGTTTTCAGCATTTTCACCAAACAAATATTTTTCTTGTATATGGTACCAAATAGAAAATCTCCTGGTTATTTTGGTGGTGGAACCACGCTGATCGGTAAAAGAATCACAGAGAAATTAGTGAACATACATAGAAAAAAAAACATCGCCACAGACAAATTGAGAACCTCCTCCTTTTGTTGGTAGTGGGGAAGTCGGTTAAAAACACTTTTACCCTCCCTGTTGCTGCAAACGTAAGTAGGCACTCGTTAAACTAATTCTATTTAAATAGGGAATCAATGCGATATTTTACGGAAACATTTCGTTATAAATCCAATTAGGCAAATGGAAATTCGCTTAGTCTGCAGGTTTACTGTGGCGGGGTATTTGTAATTGTCATAGTTCCTCCTATTTTTTGCATTAATATCTATGATTGCTTGTGGAAGGAAAAACCGCTACAGATGGAAGGGGGTCTGTAACTCATGAATGAGGCATCTACTGTATATTATTAATACGCTACATGAAACTTTGTGAATAATAAGACTTTTTGTTTTAAGATTTAACCCCACATTATATATACCAAAATGTTCGTCTAGGTGTGTAGACTTGCAAACTGACCTTACCTTTATAAAAGTAGCTTTTAATGTTCCCGTGTTATCCTTATGACGAACACCATTTGTTAACATTATCAGCTGGTACAACATTGCATCAAAATCGGACAAAAATTAGTCAAGTTAACGCGTTCACGGACATATATATTAAGACAATTAATTGAACGCGTTTTTAGCCTCTATTGACATCAAAATGAAAAATGTACCGGTCCCGGCTCCAGGTCCTACCGTGCCACTTATGGCAATAGCTCCTTCCCAATAAGGAAATTCGTTAAAAGCGAGAAAACCTAGAAAACTGTATATACTAAAAAAAATTGAGTTAACACCGTGCTGCATTTCTTGAGGAATCATTGACAGAGCCGATTCGCTAACTATGGAAACATAGAAAAGTTATTGAAAAACACCAAGTAGAAGAAAAAGAAATTATGTTTATTTTAGAATCGTTATTAAAAGTAATTATGGATCGTTATTATGGACAACCTAATGTGGCTATGAGTGGGAAACATTTGTAAAAACATTAAAAAACAAGATCAGCTTTAAAAAAATTATAAGATATTTACAATGTTTATAATGTTGATTGTATCAAACTGTTATGTACATCGTATTTCCATAATCTTTGGGTCGACTCTTTTAAAGTCTCTTTTCTATATTTTCTATGTATCTTTTCTATGTTTCCATAGTTTGCAAATTGGCTCTTTCAATGATTGCTCAAGAAATGCAGCACACTCAGTTTTCTTTTTAGTATATACAGCTTTTCAGGCTTTCTCCCTTGAGATACGGAAAAATGGTAGAAATTCTGGCACACTACGTGAGAATCAAATTTTGATTATAAACAATATTACAACAACAAATACCTCCGCCGCAGCAAACCTGCAGATTTACCAAATTTCCATTTGCCTGATTGGATTTACACTAAAATGTCTCCTTAAAAATATCACATTTATTCCTTATTTAAAAGGAATTAGTTTAACGAGTACTTAGGTTTGCTGCAACAGGGAGGATAAAAAGTGTTTTTTTTTTGTAAAATGTTAATAGGTACTGTAGTTTAGTAAGAAATTAATTTATTTTCCAAATTTGATCAAAATATGTTCATAAACAAGCTAACTACAACAGTCGACTTATTCTCCATAAAAATAACATGGGAATTTTAAAATTACAATATTTTTGAATTTTCTCCGTAACCATTAGGCGCATAATAACGCTTCAATCTACTAAATTATTAGTTTTTTAAGCTTTACAAAATGGTTTAGAAAGAAATTGTGAAATTTTGTGTTTATAGGGTCAAAAATGGGAAAAACCTATTTTTACTCCCCATAAGCCCCCGTTCCCATAGTCCGATCATGCTGGTTTGCGAACTCATTCAAGTTTATCGCGCTTTACACCTTTAAGCCAAATTTCATCAAAATAAGACAAAAATTACTTAGGTCTTACCATGCCCCCTACGGTATTAGCTACTTCCCTATAGGGAAATTCGCTAAAAATCAAAAAGTCCCAACAAATTTAACATCATTTTATATGAATACAAAGTTACCACGAATATTTTCAAGATCCAGCCTTTTTACATTTTCCCACACTTCTAAATTTCCAAAAAGTCCATAAAATTGTTTAAAAATGCTTATATCTCGAAAACCGCTTTGAGATACGGTATCCTAACGGCTTAGATTCTGGCACACTACGTGAGTATCAACTTTTGATTATAAACAATAATACAACATAAAAAAAATTAAAAAGACCAAACAAATTAACATTATTTTATATGGGTTTGTAGGTGAGTGATGTAAAAAGAGTTGGTTTAAAAAAATATATATGTGGATTTGAAATGTTTATGGAGTTGGACATTTGTATGGGATGTATAGGCAAAGATCAGGGGTTTTGAAAAAGTGGCCTAAAAATGATCCCCATGTTATTCTCATGGAAAAAATGTTCCAAGTGATGTCTCTTTCTCCTTTTTCCCCTACTATCAGGATTGATTTTGTTTGTATTACTGTATTCTGTTTTGTTTATTTCCGCTTAACCAATCAATAGTTTTATTAATACTTATCAAGACAAACTGGGTGAAGCCCGTGGGCAACAGCTAGTATGTGATAACACGTCATAAGCTGGCTATTAAATCTCGGCAGGGAGCAATCAGAGGGATTACTCAAATCGTTGTACTCATAATTTTTTGCAGGTTCATTCATCACCAAAATCACTTTTTTTCTTCATTGCTATATACCACTTACAATCACTAAAATTGAATTTTGGATGTTTCGATGCAGTTAGGTTTTTTCTTTTCATGTTGTTAATATATATTTATACATATATTTTATTTACTATCATCATTAATTGTCTAAGTACTCCTGAATATTTATGGACCTGTGTATAGCTGTATTAGCAACTCATTCCCAAACACAGACGGATAGTCTACTTGGGAATTATTTTTCCTGTACATACACAATTGTAACCACATGTAATATTATTCAGGAATAAAGAGATTTTTATTTGATTTTGATTTGGCGTACAATGCTGATCAAGAAGTAATCTATCTAAACCATTTACCATATTATAAATAGAATAAATAAGTTGGCTACAATAATTGAGAAAAACTTGTAATAAAATAAAATAGATAAAAAATGGTAATAAATAAACTCTGAAAAAAAAATTAAATAAACTCTAGGTAATACCATTGAATATTATACGTAATAACCTATAAACTCTGAAATAACAACAACAATAGTAACAATAACAAATATTGTATAGACTCTGGAAGGTTAAAAATATTAAAATGGTTCTTGAAGAAAACATAAATAAACTGGGTTAAAGAATAATAATACCCCCGCCGCAGCAAACCTGCCGACTAAGCGAATTTACATTTGTCTGAATTAATTTTCAGTTAAATCTATTTAAATAACATTACGTTTAATGAGTACCTAGGTTTGCTGCTACAAGGAAAGTAATAAAGTGTATTTTTTAGTAAAATAATAATAGCTTAGTATAAAATAAATAAATTGGCCAAGTTTAATCCAAATATATCAATAAACAAGCAAACTACATCATTTTACAATATTCTCCATAAGAATAACATGGGAATTTTAAATTTACAACTTTTGGAAGTTTCTCCGTTACCAATAACCGTACAAAAACACTTTGATATACTAAATTATTTGTTTTTTAAGCTCTTTAAAACGGTTTAGAGAGAAATTGGGAAATTTTGTGTTTTGAGGGTTAAAAATGACAAAAACCATTTTACCCCATAAAAGCCCCCGTAAAACCCCGTTCCAATGGTCCGATCATGCTGGTTCGCGAACTCATTCAACTTAATCCCGCCTTACACCTTTAAACCAAATTTCATCAAAACCGGACAAAAATTACTCAAGTTATCGCGTTCACGGACGTTTAAAAATTTTAACGAATGGCGTTTTTGGCCTCTGGTGTCATCAAAATGAAAAAGTAAATCGGACCCAGGCCCAGGTCTTGCCATGAAACCTACTAACTGTTTTTTGCTAAAACATGTTTTGTAAATTATACCTACACCAATTAAGGCTTGGACAGCTAGTACTTTCATTTTAAGAAACGTATTTTTTAAAGCTTAATTATAATACATCAAACACATCAATTTTTCTAAGTATTTGGACTTACCACTATCAAAAATAGTCTCAGCGATATCGCCAGCAGGAGCGGCGATGTAGACATCATCTTCGCCTGGCTCCAACTGAACAGTTTCACAAAACCATCTGGCAATTAATTCGCTTCTGACGTAACAGCCAATACAGTATTACGACTAAACCATCAATCTTCAACGTTTTAGCGTATTCATCCTGGTTCATCACTTGAGTTACAAGTTTTGTACAAAATTCAAAACTGAGCAACCAAACAAATTAATATTCTAAATGCATCTATTATTTTTCTCCTTCGTCTGTTTTTGCACGAAACTCACGACTGAAAAAGAAACTTAGCTTTGTTCCTAGTTTTAGTCAGTAATAAAGCTACACGAGACATTAACCCAATTCCATACTCATTCTTCACTCACGTTTGGTTTAAAAACGTACCTAGGTTGGTTTAAAAACACACATCTCAATTAACAATAACACTCTACGTCCGACGACGAATTTGAATGTGACGAATATTTTAAGTATATGGGGGTGTAACTTTTAGTTTTCTCAAAAGTTCATGGGTACTTTGGGCTTTATATATACACTAGCTGTCCCTGCGGGCTTTGCCCCGTTTAATTTCATAAGTGAGCTCGTTCGCATGGCTCAATGACGTCCTGGTTGAAGTTCGTTCGCTACGCTCACTCACCTTTAGGTTAGAGATCATTCGCTGCGCTCACTTGCATTCAGGTTAGCTCGTTCGCTACGCTAACTCGCCTCCAGGTTGAAGTTCGTTCTTTACACTCACTCACCTTTTGGTTGCAAATTAGCTGTTGTCATAAATAAAAATACCCCCGCCGCAGCAAACCTGCCGACTAAGCGAATTTCCATTTGTCTGAATTGATTTTCAGTTAAATATATTTTAATAACATTAGGTTTAACGAGTACCTAGGTTTTCTGCTACAAGGAAACTAATAAAGTGTGTTTTTGAGTAAAATATTGATAGCTTAGTACAAAATAACTAAATTTGCCAAGTTTGATCAAAATATATCCATAAACAAGCAAACTACAACATTTGACAATATTCTCCATAAGAATAACATGGGAATTTTAAATTTACAACTTTTGGAAGTTTCTCCGCTACTAACAATCGAACAAAAATACTTTTATATACTAAATTATTTGTTTTTTAAGCTCTTTAAAAAGGTCTAAAGATAAATCGGGAAATTTTGTGTTTTGAGGGTCAAAAGTGAGAAAAACCAGTTTTTACCCCATAAAACCCCCCGTAAAGCCCCGTTCCCATGGTCCGATCGTGCTGGTTCGCGAACTCATTTAGGTTTATCCCGCTTTACACCTTTAAACCAAATTTCATCAAAATCGGACAAAAATTACTTAAGTTATCGCGTTCACGGACGTATATATATATATAAATAAGTCTATATATATATTTATATACATATATAAAAATTTGAACGAATGGTGTTTTTGGCCTCTGGGGACATCAAAATGAAAAAGTAAATCGGTCCCGGGTCTTGGTCTTACCGTGCCACCTACGGTAATAGCTACTTCCCTATAGGGAAATTCGCTAAAAAATAATAGTGCTGCACCCTGTTGGTAATCATTGTACTTTAATGCTACTGAACATCATAGAACAAAACCAACTTGTTTAATTGAACCAGATGTTAAGATTCATTAATCTATACTTATATATATAATACGTGAAGGCGATTTCTACGAAACACTACTCCTCCGTTAATAATGGACGGAATCTTACAAACGAGGTGTCAAAATGAAGTATTTTTTGTGTAGACGCCCCCACAGGCCATCAAAGTTGGGGTTTCTCCCATAAGATTAACATGGTCGAATCGAAATATTTAATTTTAAACTTTCTCTCCACTAATTTGAGAGAACGGCTGGGCGTATAAACTTTGGAGAGGTGTCCAAAGAAAGGTCTTGGTCTGTAGATGAGTTATTAAAAGAAAAACTAAGTAAATTCTCTTTGGACTCTGCCCCAGAAGCCTTTAAAGATCCCTCCACAGATTTGTTTACATTTTTGCCATGTGGATAATGCTTTTTAATCAAACAGCTGTTAATTTTTAAAATCCTATTCCCTCTCTAATATGAGCAATGTTTGCTTGTACTTATTTAATACGCAAGCAGGATTTTTGTGACAATTAATTACTCCTCCGAAACTACTAAACCGATTGACATGTTTTTGGTGTCATTTGAAAGAGCGAAACGTTAAGTTGTGCAGGAATTTTTCTTTTTAGGGAAATTATTAGAGAGTTTGGCTCTGTGGCCCTTTAAAGTTTTGTATTTCTCCATAAGATTAACATGGGAAACAAACATTGTTTTGAAACTCCAGCTGTTGTCAGAAGTTAGATATTAAAAATTGGTCTCCATGGAAGCATGAGAAAATTGACAATGTTTACATTTGCTATGACATTTAAATGTAAACAACCAGAAGTGTCAAACGCCTTTTTTACAATTTTAAACAGCTGATCCAAAAAATTAAAACAACTATGTAGTAGGTTTATTTAATCTTAAACTTTATGATGGATTATTTATTAGAAATCTATTTCAATGATTATGAAAAAGATTTTTCCCGTTGTGAAGGAAAAATTAATAGTGATAAGAAGAACATATTTTAGTTGTAAACAGTCTATGTGTAAATTATCTATGTTGTATTAAAAATGTGTATAGTTTTGGATGTTGGTTTGTGTTTGATGATATAAGTTATTAGTTATTAAATTCTTATTTTTAGGATTTGGCATATGAGTAAGCCTATGATAAATAACCACCATTACAGATTTCTGCCAGTTATTTTTTAACTCTGTCCTGTAGAGTTTAAAGTAGCCTACATCTTATTGTCTACAAATTGGCTAAATAGCAACGGTACTTTATAAAAACTGACAGCCTTTTTACGTTGACTTAAATTGTAAGCTTACTGTTATGAACATACGAATCAGTTGTTACCATAGCAACCAAAATGTTAATTATTACCAAATGCTGTTTACTTTTCTGATTTTTAATATAACACAGTTACTTCTATTTCAGCATTTTGTCTTTTTATATTATAATATTCCACTCAAGTCATCTCAGTTGGCGACGATTTGGTAAAAAACTAGTATAAATTCTTGTTTTATTCTATTATTTTCGAGATATTTTATTTTGTTAAAAATTAACTTAAAATGAATGAAGAACAATTTGAAAGGCTCATGAATGTTTTGGCTGCAGCTCTAGGTAATAAAACTTCAACTTCTCAGATCAATCCTTTGGAACATTTTGATCCAAATAATGATAAATTCAATTAATATTTGGAACGTTTTGAAAATTATTGCAATTTGAAGAATATTAAAGAAGACAAGATGACAGCTCAACTCCTGTGCTCATCCATTGGTAAGGAACATTACAATAATCTGACAACTCTTTTAGGCCCAGACAATCCTGTAAAAGACCTTAATTTTTTAAAATTTATAGAACATTTCACAGTGATGTTGTCACCTACAGTATCTCCTATTGTTGCACAACACTATTTCCACAGTGTTTCACAACAGTTGCATCAATCTGTCTCTGATTTTGTCACAGTCCTGAAAAGTAACCTGAATGATTGTAATTTTTACACTTCTTACAATGAATGTGAAAGTAAAATTTCAATTGCTGATGAATTTCTCTGTCCTCAATTTATTAGAGGACTAAAAGACAATTGGATACGAGAACAACTTCTACAAGACACTAATCTCAACAGTTTTGACGCACTCCCCAAGAAAGCAATTGCCCTAGAAGCTTCCCGCTATGAATGAAATAAAATTTGTATTCCTGCCACACAATCATCAAGTGAAAATGCGGATACACACAAAATTGATAGACATTCAAGGTCTAAGACAAAGGAATATCAAAGTGTCAAGCAATTTAAGACTCCCAAATATGATGATCGCGGTTCCAATAGATCTCAATCACAACATGTCCGTAACAAAAGCTTAAAAAGACAAGTTGACTACAAAGCTTTGGGTATTAATGGACTTTGTTTCAAATGTGGTCGATCAAACCATCAGTCTAATGAATGCAAAACTAATCGGAATTATCTTAAATGCACTTCCTGTGGAAATCAAGGCCACGTATCAAAAGTGTGTATAACGTCTCTACTAAAGAACTCTAAAACAAACACCCTGTTGTCTCACTACACAGAAGATGAATCCAGTCACCCAGATGAGTATGGAATCACACAAATCAACGATGTGAAAGATCTTTACATAGTAGGACCAGACTCAGACAAATACATGGTTACAGTCACTATCAACAACAAGCCTCAAACATTTGAAGTAGACTCTGGTGCACGATTTTCCTTAATCTCAGAAACGGACTTTGATAAACTTGGACTTAAAGTGCCACTTCAACCAACTCCTATCTCATTTCGCTCCTACTCTGATCATATAATAAAACCAACTAAACTAAAGTAACTGTCTCAGTCTCTTACAATACAAAATCACTAAATAATACTGATTTATTTATAGTACCTGCTGGTCATTCTGCTTTGTTATGACGAATTAGGATTCGTGGACTTGGAATTGAACTCAGTGAGGTAGACAACAGAAAGCAATCACCGATTGATACAGTTGATGTTAATTTAGTACCGTCTCTAGAGGATATATTCGAAAAATACTCAGCAATTTTCGAAGAAAGAAGCGGATGTGTTTCTAATGTTGAAGTCAAACTCCAACTCAGAGATAATGAAAAACCAGTATTTACTAGGGAACGTGTCCCTTTCGCATTACGAGAGAGAGTAGAAAAGGAACTTACAACCCTCGAGTCTCAAGGAATCATAACTCCAGTCACATCAAGTGATTGGGGTTCTCCATTGGTTGTTATCACAAAGCCAGATGGAGGAGTCAGACTATGCGTAGATTACAAGTGTGGGGTTAATTCAAAACTTGTCTCATCTAACTACCCCATTCGACGCATTGATGATGTCTTACATAGTCTCCGCGGATCAAGATACTTCTGTAGGCCTAAGTTGGATCTTCATAAGGCTTATTTGCATCTAAAAGTCGATGAAGAGGGAAGTAAGATTCAAACAATATCAACCCATAAAGGAATGTTCAACATA